GGATACAGCTTTTTTGAACTTTTCATGGGTTGGTTGTTCCATCTATGAACTTAACTTAAGATAGAATGGGAAATACAAATCTTATCAAGGCCAGATCTTTAGCCTTATATATGAAATTTAGAGGCAGTGTGGTGCAGTAGTTTAAGTGTTAGACTATATGACTCTGGAGACCAGGGTTCGAATCACCACTCAGCCATGGCAAACCACTGGGTGACTTTAGGTAAGTCATACTCTCTCAGCCTCAAAGGATGGCACTGGCAAAATGCCCTCTGAACAAATCTTGACAAGAAAACCCTGTGACACATTTCTGTGGAAGAAAAGGAAAAGTTTCATCCCTGTGTTCTAACTGCTTGGCTGAGCTTTTCTCTCATTAGATAGCTGTTGTCTTAGGAAGTGAGTATCTAATGTCCCAGGCTTTCTGTATCTTATCTTATTTTGCTCCATCTCTTGCTATTGCCTGGCCTTCTGAATCACAGTTTTGTATCATTTTGATGTACCTTTTTAAAATCTCTCAAATATTTGCGCCATTGATATAGCTTAATGGTAGAGCTACTAGGAGGTCATAGATCCAGTCCCTAGCATCAGCAAGTATGGCAGTGAAAGACTCCTGTCCCAAACTTTGAGATTATTGTGGCCTGTCACTATAGGCAATACCAAGCAATATAGACCAATGAGATGTTTTAATATGACAGGATAATTTGTTCATATATTTTTCCAGTTGCAAAAGGTCCACAGAGGCACAGCCAGCTGCCCTCCCACATATAAAAGGTTGAACTAACAGAGACATGAGGTTGTGTACTTAGTATAGTATCCACTCAACTTTGCCAGGAAGAATGAATTCATGGAAAAGGGAAAAAGGGGAAACTATGGCTAAGAAAAACATTGGTTGTATACTTACTGGAGTATGCTTTATGCTGGTCTTTTAGTTTAAAGACTTAAATGTTGACTTTATACAGTGGGTCCTTGGTATCTACTGGGGTTTGGTTCTAGGACCCAACCACCCTATGGATACCCAAATCCATGGATGCTTGTCCCATTAGATACAGTGGCATAGTGAAATGGTGTCCCTTATATAAAATAGTAAAATCAAGGTTTGCTTTCTGGAATTTGTATCTTTTCTGAATATTTCCAAGCCATGGATGCTTATATCTGTGCCTAAAGAATCCATGGATGTGAAGAGGCAACTCTACTTTATTTTAGTTTAGTTTAGTTATTGTTGTGTGCCTTCAAGCTGTTTCCAACATATGGAGACCCTAAGGTGAACCTATCACAGAGTTTTGTGGGGTTGAGAGTGTGTGACTCACTCAAGGTGGGTTTCCGTGGCTGAGTGGTGAACCAAACCCTGATCTCCGGAGTCCTAGTCCAATGCTCAAACCACGATGCCATGCTGGCTTTTATTGATTGTGAATCACTTTGAGAGAAGCCTTTGCTCTGAAAGGCATCATAAAAATACTGAAATAACTGCACACACCCCTTTTTAATGCCTTCTTAGGTTTTATTAGAAAACTTACTCACTTGTCAAAGTGGGAAAACATGACCTGGCTGACCCAGTAGGGTTTACATACATTCCTAGACTCTTAAAACAAAATAAGCTACGGTATATAGATGATGTTGGTCAGCTTCCAGTCAAAGCAGTTTCTGTTCTTCTTGACCTGAACAAACTCATACTGTAAACTGTTTATGAAAGATTTTCTGGTTTGAGCCAGATGCCCCAAGGGACCAGGTCTCTGATAGTTCAGCATGGCTTGTGTTGGGCATAGATATTTTACAAACTAGCCATCTCTATCTTCGGATGCATTTCTGTTTAGCTATGAAAAATTATAGTGTTTATTCATACTGCCTTCCAATATAACAGACAAGGAAAACATAAGATTGCAAAATACAGTTTTGCGCAGGGTTTGGTGGTTTAAAATTCACCCATCCTGTGATAGAAGAAGAAAAGGCTTTTTTTTTGGCATTAAAACTGCCTAGCAAACTGAACTGGTTCAGAAGTAAGTGTGTAGGTGGCTGTGGATTTTTGTCAGATGCATCATTTCCTTTAGCCAAATTTACATGTTCCACAGAGGACCAAAACCATAAAAGAACCATGTATACTGTAAACAAGGCAAATACTGCCCAAGTAGAGAACATTCTCTCATCTTCTAAACACACTCTTGCACTCTGGTTACAAAAGGCATATCAAAATAAATTGGGACAGAGAAAGGGCTGATCTCTCCCACATAAGCATTTAGCCTAATATTTATAGTCCCACAACTTTCTTTTTAAAGAAGAAAGTATAGATATTTTAGCTCTAACCTTGTAAGCTGGAAGATTTACAGTGACTGCCATGAATATTGACCCTCCACTTTAAGGAAGTCAAGGGCAGATCTAGGCAGTTGTACCTGTTGGACTTCCTAGTGTTGTTGTGTGCCTTCAAGTCATTTGTGGCTTATAGTGACCCTAAGGCAAACCTGTCACAGGGTTTTCTTGGCAGGATTTGTTCAGAGGAGGTTTGCCCTTGCCTTCCCCTGAGGCTGAGAGCATGTCACTTGCTCAAGGTCACCCAGTGGGTTTCATGGCTGAGTTGAGAATCAAACTCTGGTCTCCAGAGTCATAGTCCAACACTGAAACCACTAAGCCACGCTATATGATGGCAGCTGTTAAAAGGCACATACGTGCTTGGGCCAAGAATTGTCGTTTGAGCACAAATGTTTCTTCAATATTGAAAATGAGTGGAGAAAATGTTTAAAAAATCTTTCATTGTGTTGCCAGGTGCAGGGGCATTTCTAGGGTGGTGCAGGGGGTGTGATGTCTTAGGAAGTGGGTATCTAGAGAATGCCCATGGCTTTCTGTATCTTACTTTGCTCCATCTCCTGCCATTGCTCCTACTTCCCACTTGTGGGAAGGGACTGCCTTCTGGTGTATACTGCTGCATGGGTAGCCTGGGACTCCTGAAGAGGGAATCCTTGGAAAGACCCGATCCATCCATCTGCAGATGGCAAGGAAAATGGTTGGGATGCTGTCAGAATGCCATGGCAAAAAAAAAATCTGGATGTTTCTTTCTTCACTGAATAGTTTTTGGACCGTTTTGGGAGTTGTGAACAAGGCAGATAGACTGGAATGGCCTGGGACACGGATGGTCCTTTTGGATGCCTCGGTCCACCAGCCATCGGTGGAAAGTAAACTGGATCCTTTCTCTTCCACACCAGCCCCATCTACTCCTATGGGACCATTGGCTTGGCAAAGGGAGTCCCAGGCAGCATGAGGGTGACAGCATGAGTTACCATACTGGGGTGACACCAACCCTAGCAATGCCACTGGCTACATACCTGGTCAAATGAATGTCAGTTCAGTTATGGTCAGTACAGGCTGCTATTCATGTCATTTCATTTCCCTTTGAGAATACAAAAAAGCCTTACTATAAGAGTCTTGGCAGAAGGACTTAGGGAAGATGGAAGTAGTAGGTTGTAGGAAAGAAGGAAGTAGACACCAGAAGAAACAGTTGTTGTTAATAATAATAATAATAATAATAATAATAATAATGTATTTATATCCCACCCCTCTGCAGAGCAATCAGGGTAGCTTACAACATTGTTGTTGTTGTTGTTGTTGTATGCCTTTAAGTCATTTCTGACTTATGCTGACCTTAAGGTGAACCTATCATGGGGTTTTCTTGGCAAGTTTCTTCAGAGGGGGTTGTCATTGCTATTCTCTGTGGCTGAGAGAGTGTGACTTGCCCAAGGTCACCCAGTGGGTTTAATGGCTAAGCCAGGATTTGAGCTCTGGTGTCCAGAGTCATAGTCCAATACTCAAACCACAGTAGATCAAAGGAAATGATGGTCATATTAATGTAAGGTTGGGTGAAATTATAATCTAGCAGGAGAATGGAAGAGTAAAGGAGAGCAATGAGGGAAAAAGAGTGGAGAAGACATATGCACAAATAAGAGGCAAAGAAGGTCACATACTTTGCTTGAATAACCAGCTAATGCCATAATTGAAGGCCTGTCATTCTAACTGTATTGAAGTTATTAATACAAGCAGCTCTTTTGCTGAGACGCGGCATTTAGAAAAGTAAGGCCTTGGCGAGCATGAGAATGGAAGACCGTTTTCTGTATTTGTGAATGGTAGCTGTGTGCGTTTGCAAACGACAACTCTTGAAAGGTACATGACTCTTCCATACTTTATTTCACAGAGATGCATAATGAAATCTGTCCACCAGTAGGCATTCATCAGTGAAAGCAGAAGACGTTTCTCTAATATGTGTCAGTAATGTGCATTGTGAGAAGATATGTGACCGTCCTTTCTTAAGCTGTCTGTGTTTCTAAAAATGCATCTTCTTTGTTGAATATTCAGTGCCATTGCTACAATATACCTGCATTCATTCAGTCCAAAGCCTAGCATTGTATATGGGAGGGAGGAAGGGAGAGAGAAAAAGAGAAAGAAAGAAAGAAAGAAAGAAAGAAAGAAAGAAAGAAAGAAAAGATGAATTAGGAGGAGAAAACATAGCATAATATTCAAGAAGTAAGGGAAGGACTGAATGTCAGAACATGTTGGTGCTTGAACCCTGGAACCTTTTTGATTCCATCCCAAATATCTATGCGACGTGATTAATTTTAATGTCATACCCATCTTAATGTCAATTATTTTTAATGTCACCGCCTTTGGGTTGCTAACTTCAGCAATGTTGTATAGCTGGAAATAAATTTCACTCCAGAACTCAAAAGTTGTGGAGGCAATGTTTTGGAGGAGTGTTGAATTCTGTAGGATTTCACTAATTTGTTTCCAATATAAAGATAGAGAGGGCATGATAGAAAGTCATGAAAGGGCACAAAATCCCTCTGAATTTCTTCAGAGGAAGGCAATTTTGTAGAACCACATTTGAAAAGAAAAGTTGTAGGGGAATGTTCCTGGGCTGGAACTGCACAACAAGGAGTAGATAACCTTTAAAGAAGTAAAATAATATTAAACATGGGCAATATAATGATGCTATGTGTAGATGAGAGATGTGATACTTTGAGAGACCCAGTGTAGCATAATGGTTTGAGTGTGGGACTACAACTCTGGAGACCAGGGTTCAAATTCCTGCGAAGCCATGAAACCGACTTGGTGAACTTGGGCAAATCACACTCTCTCAGCCTCAGGCAAACCCCCTCTGAAGAAATTTGCTAAGAAAACCCCATGATAGGTTTGCCTTAGGGTCACTATAAGTCAGAAATGACTTGTAGGGAATGACTTGAAATGACTCTTCACATTTTCTCAAATATAAAATGATGGGGTTAAAGTGCTATAGAATCCCTAAAGCCAGTCATGAGAGCCACGTCTTATACAGGAAATGCTCTGTTTTGAAGCTTCCAGAGCTACAGGTCACACTAAATATGAACATCTAGGGATGCAAAGCATTATGCTTCTAATATGTACGAAGGAAGGTCAGCAATACAAGTGGCAAAAGACAATATATGTTGTGAGTAGATGGCGTCCAGGAGATGGAATGAAGAAAGCATGGCCAGTGGCTGGTAGTTAAAGTGTATGCTCATATGACAACTAGCAGAAGGAGAGATGGAAAATGAAGAAACCTGCTTAACTGGGAAGGTTATTATTATTATTATTATTATTATTATTATTTTGCTCTGAAGAATCCACTGGGGTCACTTAAGGTTTTGGGACTAAACTGTGCTTCTCCTTATATCACACATTTCTAGAAAAAATAAATAAATACAAGTTTGAACCCCAGCCAGTGGAAGAAAAAAAATCACAGGATCCCTAAAACCGATCAGGATCATCAAAGTAAGATTTTCACAACCATGAGGTTACCTGTGCTATTTTCTTTAATAGGCTAGCATGCCTTTTATTCTAACAAGTCTCTAAATAAATGCACACAAAGATTCTGTCCTTGATTACAAATGAGTAATTGTCTACCATTTGTATCATCTTTTGTATTCTACATACAGAAGCTCAGTGTGTTTGAACTAGGGGTGCATCTACATTGTAGGAATAATGCAGTTCGACACCACTTTAAGTGCCATAGCTCCATTCTATGGAATCCTGGGATTTCTATTTTTACATGGTCTTTATCCTTCTCTGCCAGAGAGTGCTGGTGCTTCACCAAACTACAAATCACACATTTCTGTAGGATGCAGCCATGCCAGTCAAAGTGGTGTCAAACTGCACTATTTCCACAAAGCAGATGCACCCTGGAACAGTATTACCTTTTTAGAATTAGATATAGTGGTGTAGTGGTTTGAGCGTTGGACTATTTATGAGCCAGCATGGTGTGTGACCCAGCATGGTTTGAGGATTGGACTATAACTCTAGAGACTAGGTTCAAATCCTGGCTTGGCCATGCAAACCCTTGGACAAGTCACACTTTCTCAGCCTCAGAGAAAGTGTGACTTGCCCAAGGGTTTGCATGGCCAAGCCACACTTTCTCAGCCTCAGAGGATGGCAATGGTAAGCCCCTTCTGAACAAATCTTGCCAAGAAAACCCCATGGCCTTAGGGTCACCATAATTTGGAAGCGACTCAAAGGAACACAACAACAACAACATTGGGAATGACTTCAGATTCAGTGCCTAAACTCAGTGCAGACCTCTGCCAGAGCAATGCTGTGGACATGATTCAGCCAAAGCAAGCTGTTTGTAATGTAAGCATAACACACCCACAACAACAAGTTAACTTCTTTATGCATTATACTTAGCTGACCTTCTTTGGATTCCTCTGCCAGTGGCAGGGAATGTCCTGATCATGGCCTCTTGGATGAGGGGCAAGTTACATCATGAACTAAGCCATAGCTGTCAGGGACTATCAGGATCTGTGGCTCATTCAGAAGTGTAAGCAGTAAAAGGAGGAAATCCCATCACACACTAAGCTGTGTGCAGTTCTTCAAGAAATAAGAATCCTATCCAGTGTGTTGCAATCCCGGGCAGTTCCCATCTCTCCGTTCCATCAGCACAAGCGCAAGCTAACCAGCCCTCATTAAAAACATTTACTATAAATGGTCATCAGGTGAAATATGCACTAGTGCCAAGAGAAAGAAGGCATCTCGTTCTGCTATAGCTTGTGTATATGCATCTGACAGTTAGCATAGCCTAAAGAAACCTCCAGTCCCAAACAGTTCACATTCTTTTCACCCGGAGCTAAACTCCGCACAGCAGTGTTGTTTAAACAAGCCGAAAAGGAAAAAAAAATCTATGCCAGAGTTTAATGCAGGAACCTCGGTTCCTAACCCCAGCACTCTTCAGGCACAAGGCTCCCTAGCAAAAGGCCACACGCCATCCTCCACTTGTTTATGCATTTTTGCATTATGAGACAGCCAGAAGGGGATCATTAAATCTACTGTACTCCAGGGAGACTGGTGAATTTAGCCAATCTGTTTGAAACGCAGAAATCACAAATAGCACAGAGTCAAAACTTATGCCATGCATTTTTTGCATTTTATCTGTTTATTAAATAACTTGACACTTAAGAGCAGTTTTTGGAATGGGGCATGAACCCAAGGCAAGCACCATCAAGTTTGCATGCTTATAATTAGGACTGAGCTGAATGGAAGAGAGGAAAGGAGGAATAACCATTTTACAAACATTTATGACTTCACATAATATGAATATCCTCCTTTTAAGCAATCAGCCTACAGTGGGAGTCCTGTTTTTCAGCAATTTTCCATATTGCCCTGGCTTTTTCATAATTTTTCACAACTTTCCCTTGTTGTTGTGTGCCTTCAAGTCATTTCTGACTTATGGCAACCCTAAGGCAAACCCATCGCAATGGTTTTTTGCCAGAATTTGTTCATGGGGTTTGCCATTGCTATCCTCTGAGGCTGAGAGAGTGTGAGTTGACCAAGGTCACCCAGTGGATTTTTGTGGCCGAGGCAGGATTTGAACCCTGATCTCCAGAGCCAGAGCCCAATGCTCAAATCACGTTGGCTCACACACTGTGCTGACTCATAATTTTCCCTACTTTGAGGGAAAAGGCAGGATAAAATAAAATGATTGATTAACAGATAAATACATCAAACAATGAAATGTGAAATAAATTAAACAAAACACTATATGAATTCATTAGTTAAAACACTAAGTTAGCAGATCTATTTCAGAACAGAGCAGAAGAGAATATAGTCAGCCTTCTGTATCCATGGAAGGCTTGAAAATATATATATATATATAAAATAAATAAATAAATAAAATAGTTTTTGGTGGTTTTTTTTGGGTTGTGTGCCCATGTTCTAGAAGAGTTTCTTTCTGACGTTTCACCAGTATCTGTGGCTGGCATCTTCAGAGAATAGTGGAATGGAAGAGAGTGGGCATATATATACTGTGAGACTCTGGGTAGGGAGGAATAATTCCCATGTAAATTGTGTATTGTTCTGTTGTTGATGGCAGGGCCTCAGGGTGGGAGGATATGCAAAAGAGGATTAGTGTCTGCTAATCAGTGATCATTGTCTGCTGGGAAAGCCCCTGACCCTGGGTGGTTTCTCATTTGCATTTGCTGAATGCTGATTTTCCTATTTTGCAGGACTGGTAGCCAAGCTTTGTTTCCTTTAAGGGTTTCTTCTTTCCTGTTGAAGTTGTCCAACTGTTTGTGGATTTCAATGGCTTCCCTGTGAATTCTGACCTGATAGTTGTTGGCATGGTCCAGAATTTCAGTGTTTTCAAACAGCATTTTATGCCCAGGATGGTTTATGATGTGTTCTGGTACTGCTGATATTTCTGGCTGACCCAGCCTGCAGTGTCTCATGTTCCTTGATTTGTGTTTGGACACTGCGTTTGGTGGTCCCTG